AGTACTCCGGAAGTGACTAATCGAATCCAGATGTGTGTATATGATCCATAAGCGCGACGAATTGCATCCTGTGGGGGGGGGGGTACTCTGGAAGTGTCTAATGGATTCCATATTACACACATCTGGATTCGATTAGTCACTTCCGGAGTACTTCCGGTAGGGTCAAAAGGTCAAGAGTGGGGCCATCAATCAAAAAGATGGCACAGCAGGGGTGTTATACTCTCTCACATGTAGCACAAACTTTACCTTTGGTTGAATTTTTGCACTTGTGTTGTCGGCTTTGAGGCTGAAAGTACGCTCAGTTGCAGGTACTTGTCTGGTGTGGTTTCTTGATTCTTTTGTATCCATCTGAGGATTCTTCCTTGTCTATTCCCTGTTATCAGATGATATCAGTCATCAGCAGCTGAAGATTTTAAAATTCAGTTTGGATTTAAAATCGCAAAATAAATTCATGATGAACTCTTAGGATGATGATCATTTTAGCTTATTACACTTTTATCATTGAGTTTGCAGTCAGTATGATGTCATATTTAAAAATAATGGTCAGTGTGCCCAGATAATATTTTCACCTTGTGTCTAGTATAAAATATAAAAGCAATCGTACTGTGACTTTCTTTGCCTGCACTGATCCTAATACATTGAATCTGTTCAGTTACCTGTTCCAGAGCAGGATCCTGTCGGATTGGATAGACGTGGAGTTTAAGAAATGATGTGTTGGGTTTATAGTACATCAACGTGTAACAGCTGATTTTCAAAGGAAAGAATAAACGTATCAGAGCCCTATTAGAGAGAAATGTGGTTCAGTTAACTTGACATGTGTTGGTGTGACCTCAGACACTTTTTCCACAACATCTCCACAGTCATCTATGTGAAGGACTGCAAACGTGTCCAATATGTCAGGGATGTCATCTGCAGGAGAACACAACAACACAAACATGGTGAGAAGAACAGTTATAACAGTTTGTGCGCTCACTGTCAGAAATGTCAACATCTGAAGTCTTCCTTCATGTCCTCTTACCGATGCAGATCCAGTGTGGCAGGTGAACTTCATTTAACTTCCCAGCAGTGACTGTGACGTCCATCAGAGGACCTGCAGGCATGTATTGTCTGCTCTCCATCCTCTCCATGTCCCTCCCAAGATCTAAACTGGTACTGAAAGCTGGTCTTTCCCTTACAGACCCAGCGCAAGCCCGACACTCTGCATTCAAAGTGTCCTGCTGCAGACTGAAGGCTGAAACAGGAATTAAATACACACTCATGAAGGAACAACAGAGTGAATGGAAACACAGAGTAGTCGTGTGAATCGGATGCAAAATGAAGAATTTCCTCTGGGAAAGGGATGGGTGTCGAAACCCGTTCTGTTGAGAACCGGTTCCCACTGTTTCAATTCCTTGGAATTGTTTGCCACTTTTAAAAACGATTCCTTATCGATTCCAGTCGCCCCGAATGACGTCACCACGTTGCGGAGCGTCATTTACCTGGCAGGAAACACGGCGCCTAAGCGGCTCAAACGCTCAAAGTTTGGTTATACTTTACGAGAACAGATGACAACAGGGCAACTTGCAATACTTGCAAAGTAGATGTTTCATTTAAGGGAGGAAACACTACGAATATCAAAAGCATTTGCTCACAAAACACGCGATGACCTTAAATGAATGTCGTGTTTTAATTCCGCTCCGGACTCGTGAATCTCAACCCAGCAGCAGCGGTAACGTTTGCACTTCCTCTCCCGTTAATGCGGCAGGTAAATAATCAACTAACAGTGCATATTATGTTAGTGCGATCTGCCTTATTACAAAACCATTACTGTGCATTTAGTGACCATGATGAGAGAGACAGAGTCTGGCTCAGATGCTGCCAGTTCTCGCTGCAGTCTACCGGTAGCGTCTCCTTTCAGGCAGGATAGATGAATGTCACTGAGCAGTGACTCAGTTTGTGGTCAAAGGCTTGCACCCGTTTGCCACAGCAGATGATTTTCAGTAAGTGAATGTGTTTAATTGTAGGCAGGGACATTACTGGATATTCTTGTGTTATTGCTACAGAATGATTTATGTTATACTTTGTTATTGCTACAGAAGAATATTTATTTTATTATTTTACATTTACAATGTTTTTCCTGGAACCCTGTGACGCCCCATTGAAGAGCCGCAGGCTGGATCGCTTAAGATCTCACCGTTGGGTTTGTAAGGCCATGTTACTCCTAAATTTCTATTTTGTTCAAAGAGAAATATAAACAAAGTTCTGAGCTAATCGACCTTAGTGTTCTCCTTTTTAAAAAAGAATCGATGAAGAATCGAATCGTTAAACAGAATCGAAAATGGAATCGTGAAAATCTTATCAATACCCATCCCTATCTGTGAATAAATCCAAAGCTGAACTGTTTCCTGTAGTTAGTGTGAATGCTTGAAAAGCATTCACAGTATTGTTGTTGTAATCTTTATTATTATTATTATTATTATATTTTATTCTGTATTCCGTACGTTTTTGTAATCCTACTCCTTCAAAACCGTTCAACTTAGAAAACCATTCCAACACCGTTAGATTCCTATTCTTTTGGACAACACTGCTTCCATTTTTCATATTTTTAACATTTTATTTTTAATTTTATTCAACTTTATTCAAAAAAATTTATAATGTATTTCAATGGGGAGACCCTTCAAATCCTCATTCAACTTACTCATTTTTAAACTTTACTACTTCCACATACATTGACATAGAGCCACCATTCAAACTTTAAAACGAAGACAAGACATTCAACTATTCAACTTGCATTTATCTTTTCAATATCTATTATACTTTTTCTTCAGTTCCAGTTTAAGTTTCATGATTTTTTCACCCGTTCAGAGTTTATAATGGGTGTGTATGGGACGGAATGTTGGGGCTAGAGTGAGACAGCTCAACTGCTAGAGTGAGAGGAGCAAAAAAATTAATCTTAAAATCTTTTAAAACTGCTGCTGTGTCCACAGCGTTTGCTCTACAGGTATGATTTTACCCTCAAAACGTAGCCATGGCGGTCCTCTTTCATCCAATGTGTTTACTATGTTACTATGTTATGGTTCTTTCATAAATGTCACCAATGCACAGCCTCCTCCCTCCAACTCTTCCATAGACTCTAATGTTAAAATGGCTCAGAAGGTTCGTTTGAAAAATCAGAAGAGCATGGTGTCTTTCCACTGTCACCACGTCCATATAATAAACTCCACAGCATGAAAAACTGAGAATTCGTAGACTAGAAGCTGCTGTCGCTCACGGTGAAAGAATTTTGTCAATACGACTTGTACTTTAATTTGGGAACGATTTGTTTCGGCCTGACTTTTCTGTTCTTTAAGCAGCAAAAGTGAGGTGTATGTCTGTGTCGTGTGTATGGAGCCATTGGGTGCGGTCACTATAGCAACCAGGCTCACACCTGCCTGCTTAACGAGCTCTGCCTGCCACTGTACCAAGATTCATCTTAAGCACTTCTCTTTCAACTGCTGCTGTGTCCACAGTGTCACAGCCATCATTTTACCCTAAACGTCGCCATCGTGTTCTTTTTCCAACATCTTGTCTTTCAAAGCTCAGAGATGTAAACTTTTTAAACTGTGTGGATCAAAGTGGAGGGATCACATTTGAGTCATTCAGTGATTCAAAGAATATGACCTTTTAATATTCTTTCAGATGTTTTCTGACTCTAAATGTTCTTTTCTCATTTCTTAGGTTTTTCTAATTTACAATTAAAACATTTTCAGTTTTTTCCAACTCCTTCTTCTGTGTAACCTTCAGCTTTTAGCAGTTCAGCACCTTTGTTTTCAGGTTAAATCGTTTTTTTTTTTTTTTTTTAATCTCATTCAATATTTTTAACTCAAAATTCAGCAATTAATTCATTTCAGTGCATACATTCAGATTCAAGCATTCACACTGCAGTTCTTCAGAAAATGCACTTTCTAGTTCCAGTTTGCTGTGCTGCAGCATTCAGGAAGTTGATTTACCTGTAAGTTGGAGCCTCGTCTGCATCTGTACTGTTCACCTCAGGTTCAAGTTTAGTCCAATCACTGCAGTCCTGCTGCAGAGGACAGTCTCTTTAGTCAATAAGTACACATGTTTATAAAGAAAGAAACTTTAGCAATAAATGGATGAATGGAAGGGATTACCGTCAGGCTCTGACAACCTTCAAGCTCTGAACTTCTTTCAGTTTTTCGTCCTTGTTGAGACACAAAGAATTCAAATGAATGATGTTATGCTGACATATAAAATCATCCTCTAACTGTCCACATGTTTGCTGTTTGATCACTTTATGCTGTGCAGTGCTGCTTCAACATCAGAACAACATGTTCAGCAGGACGTGCAGCTGAGTGACGTCTAAGATGATCAAAAGCTGATGAATCCAAATATTCTCACCAGTGATGTCAGAACAAGACAGAGACAGAGAGAAAGGTTGGATTCAGCTCTGATCATTTATGCAAAGTTATTTTTGGACGTCTGTTGTGTTTCCTGTTTATTTTAATGTTTGTTGATTAGAAGTTGTTTAAACAAGTTTATTGTAAATTATGAAAATCTGTTTATTAAACTTTGGTCTCACCTGAGCTGCTCTCTGACAGCCTCAGCATCAGATCAGGTCTGTTCATGTCTGTTAAAACCTCCATGGTCGCCTCCACAGACTGATGACCAAGTTTATCCACCATCACATTCACAAGGTCTTCTGTCCTGTTTGGATACCGGTACCTCTCCATTTGTGGCAGGCTCATCTTAAAGCACGTGAACGGCAGCAACTGAATGAATTTCGAGATCCTTTTGACTGAATTCATTCAGTGTTTCCAAGAGAATCTGTCTGACAGCTTCCTGTTCTTTTACCTGTAAAACCAAAACAATGTATTAAGTTACTGTATAATATCTCTGTTGGACAATTTAAAGTTTCTTTTATTTAATTTCCAGAGAAACTGTAGTAGAAATATCAAATATTAATTAAAAAAGATGTCTTCATAATATTTATATGTTTTAGAATAATCACTGAAGAGACAGCTGGCGGTTTTGATATTTACTTCACTCTCTTTATGAACTGCAAAACTTCAAGTTTCATAAGAAAACATTATTTCATTTCTATCAATACTAAAAACTATTTTTTGTAAAAGCTGAGTTAAAGTCACACTCACTCTCTTCAACAGTGCAGCTCCATGTTCATCCACAGAGTGTTTCTCTGAGGAGGAAAGACATTTACCATCAACTCTGAGGATTCAAACATCATCACACATCCAAGTAGAATCAGCCTTCAGACGACACAGATGATTAAAAGAGAAAATCATGTGAAACTAAATAAAATGACATAAGAACCCAACAAAGAAACCCTCCATCCTGTCCAACCAAAGTAACTGGGGTTCCAGCTGTGATAATGAGAGAGGTACACTGTCCACCTCAGGTTTTAAACAGACAGACAACCTTTCACACCCACATTTAATTTAGAACCAGCAATAAAGCCAACAAGCATGTGTTTGGACTGGAAACCAGAGCACTCTGAGGAAAAGCATGCAGGCACAGGAGAACATGCAAACTCCACACAGAAAGGTTCCAGCCAACCAGGAGGCTCAAACACACAACCTTCATGCTGTGAGGACACAGTGCTAACCACTGCACCACCATGACACCAGCAACACAAAACCTGTTGATGACACAGAGTTACACTCATGCATGTTGGTCTTACCTCTGGATGCTGAGCTGCTCTCTGGTAACTTCTGCACAGATCAGTTCTGTTCATGTGCATGAAAACTTCTCTGGTCACCTCCACAGACTGATGACCAAGTTTATCCATCATCAGATTCACTACATCTGCTCTGGTTGATAACTGACTCAACCTCCGTGAGAAGAATGACAGATTCCTCCAAGGAAGGATCGTCTGCAGGAGGCTTTTAAATTCCTTGAGCTCCTCATCACTCAAATCATTCAAAGTTTCTAAAAGCAGATGTTTAACAGCTGCCATTGTTGCCACCTGGAACAATAAACACAATCACGGGTCACATATTATTTAGCCAAACACAAGCATCTATTTACTAGTTGCGGTACGTTTATGAAAAAAATGAAGAAAATATAAAACTGTGATCCACTTTTATGGGTTTGAATACTTTTTCTTTACAGGCTGCAGTTCTTCTCTCACTGTGCAGATAAAAACTGAAATATATCCATCAAGAATCTTTCCCTGATTTCACATCATCTTTCATTCTTTATTAATATTTGTAAGTAGAATAAAGTTTCCTGTTTAATCTGAAAGTGTTTGATGTTTTCAGATTTCTCTGTCCTGTTGAAGAGTCAGGACAAATGTACATGCTGACACTTCCTCAGCTCATCCTCAGTGGTAAAGACATCCTGACATTAGTGTTGCAGAAAATTACTGCTGAAGAAGTCAAACTGAATGAAGCTTCAGTTTGTCACAAACATCCAGCAGAAATCATGAGAAAATGAGTCAACATGAGAACTGATGATACTTTAGTCCTCTGACTTTCAGCCTGCTGTCTTGTACTGAATCAGAGATGTGACATGACTCACTTTGTGGATCAGTGCAGAGCGTCGTTCATCCACAGAGTGTTTCTCTGAGGAGAAAAGTGCTCAAAGTCACTCATGACAAACACATTTAACAACTAACTGACAATTATTCAGGAAATATGACTTTGGAAAAATGGACAATATGCAGAATTACACTGAAACCTCCTCAGCAATAATAAACAGTATGAAGGAGTCATTTTTGCTCCTCCTCACAAAGTATTTGGATTTAATCTGGTCTCATTTTTACGTATTTATTGAAGTAGATTTTTCCAGAACAGCCATAAAATATGTTTTAAAGATGTGTTTTTTGTCTTTATTACAAATATTATTTATAAAGTCAAAGAAGACTTTAGTCAGACGTTTATGAGACATGAAAACAGTTTTATGACTTTAATGAGTTTTGATTTTGTTGTCTTACTTCGAGGCAGTGAGCTGCAGTCTGACAGCCTCTGAGCCAGATCAGTCCTCTTCATCTCCTTTAAGACCTCCATGGTCTTCTCCACTGACTGTTGGCCGTAAATCATCACCATCAGAAACACTGTGTGCTGCAGGTCTGTCCACTCGTACGGCATCAATGAGAAGTCTGAGTCATATTTGCGATGAATTTGTAGCAGGTTCAACTTGAACTCCCTGAGCTCCGGCTCATTGAGACCATCCAGAGCTTCCAGCAGCAGCTCAATAACAGACTCCATCGTTTCTACCTGGAAAATTCAAAGAAAATGTTCATGAGATAAATGTGACATTTCTCACTTTCAGGTTTGTTTGTTTTCTCATCAACACTTTACAAATGTAGATGTGTTTAGATGACATCATCCATCACATAAGGTGATGATGTCATTGGTCATCTTTGTCACAATGATCACAAACAGCTGATTAACAATTATTCTGCTTCTGTTAACAAGTTCAGGACTTTTCTGACCTGCTGCAGACCTCCCTCACTGCACACGCTCAACTTATCAAACTTTGACTTTTCCAATCAAAATCAAATCATTTGTTTCTATTGAAGATTTCTATCCTGTATTTATGAAATGAAAGCTGGATGATCTGAAGTCAGACAGATGTGACATGACTCACTTTGTGGATCAGTGCAGGCCAACGTTCATCCTCAGAGTGTTTCTCTGACAGAAAAGAAAGATTAAAAGCTTCATTCATGACTGATTTAACATCAGTGTTAATAATCAGACACTTTGAAATAACTGATGCTTTGATTTCATTCTGATGATCCTTGTAAGTTGGATTAATAACAACATTAAACTTGTTAACATGAAGTCATATTTGATGGGAAACTATCAACGTGTGAGGAAATGATCCAGTTCTGTTTCATTCAGTAATTCTTCTTCTTCATCTTCTTCATCTTCATATCAATGAGTGTATTTATTGATTCATGTGTTTTCTGGACACTGACCTTTCTCTGTTTCCTCCACATCAAATCCTTCAGCTGATGATCCTGCAGCTGCAACACATTGAATACAAACTGTAACTACATGACACAGACACTGTGTGTGTCCTTTATGTGTGCTCATCCTGAGTATAACACTGAGTCCTGACAATAAAAAGCTTTAATATTTCACTTTCAGCTGTGCTGACTGAAGGCAGGAGGAGGCCATAGTTACACAATCACAGAGAAATCACTGAAAAGACTTTGAATCATTTACCTCATACAGGTCGTCTGTCTCCATAGTGGAGTTTCAATCAAAGCTAACATAAAGATCCATTTACAACACAAGACTGATATTAATGAGCTCAAAATGCAAAAAACAAAGAAAAATATTTTCAAAGGAAAGAAGTTCAAAGAGCTTTAAAACAACATTTACTAAAGAAAGTCACTGATTCAATAAGCTGAATATTTTTACTTTAAACATTGAAATATGAAAACAAATCTGTTCAATTTTACTGTGTTTGTACAACCTGAATGTGTTCATTTATCAACGTCTGTCCAAAATAAATCAGAGGAAACAAATTCTTTCATTTATAAATGATAATAAAGTTTATATTATGCAGTTCTTGTTGTGAGTTTCTCTGATTTAATTCTTTAAATTAATTTTTACTGTAAGGTGTAATATCATATTTAATAATAATAATGGATTGCATTTATATAGCGTTTTTCTAGGCACCCAAAGCGCTTTACAATGCCACTATTCATTCACTCTCACATTCATACACTGGGGGAGGCAGCTACAGTTGTAGCCACAGCTGCCCTGGGGCAGGCAGACAGAAGCCAGGCTGCCATATCGCGCCATCGCCCCCTCTGGCCAACACCAGTAGGCGGCAGGTGAAGTGTCTTGCCCAAGGACACAACGACCAGGACAGAGAGCCAAGGGATCGAACCGGCTACAGGTTACAGATACGCTTCCCAATGCTTCCCTGAGCCACGGTCGCCCCAAATTAAAATAGGGGCGATTAAAATAGTGTGGAAGTACTTTAAAATCCTTCCACACACAGTTAAGAATAATCACACCATATCTGATGTATGGATTTGTCTATTAATTTATGCAGCTTATGATTATTGTACAGCTGTCCTTGTTGGCCAGGACACTCTTGTAAAACAGATTTTTAATGTCACAAGTTTATTTTTTCCTGGTTAAATAAACTTTAATGAATAAATAAAATGTATTAAAGTTATTACAGAAACTCTGACAGATTATTTCCTCTTACCTTTGAGTCCTGAGCTGCTCTCTGACAGCCTCTGCACCAGATCAGTTCTCTGCATGTCTGTTAAAACCTCCCTGATCACCTCCACAGACTGATGACCAAGTTTATCAATCATATCATTCACTATTCTTCTTCTGTCATCACTCAGTTCGATTTGTGGAAGACTCTTCTGAAAACAAGTGAACTGCAGGAACCTCCTGAACTCCTTGAGATCCTGATCACTCAAATCCTCCAGTGTTTCTAGAAGCACATCTGTAACAGCTGCCATTGTTGCAACCTGGAACATTCAAACATTCATAAAGAAAAAATGTTTCCTCACTGAGAAAATTACAGATTTATGTTTTTGTAGCTGTTTTAAACTTTGAATGTTTTCAATGTTTTCTCTGAAACACTTTGTTTTCTTTTATTATCTTATTTATTAAGATGTAGTTATGTAAACACACTTTTTAATAATGTTTGATTTTTAATCTAAAAACATTTCTGTGACAACTGTTTAATCTAAATGATGAAATTATGATTTTCAAACTGCATCTTATTGAATCAAAGCTGAACTCTGCAGAGTCAGACAGATGAGACGTTACTCACTTTATGGATCAGTGCAGACAGATGTTCATCCAGATGTTTGTCTTAAAAAAGAGAAATTAACAGAAATGGAAATAAGTGTTTAATAAAAGCTAATCGAGCTTTAAAAAAATACACAGAGATCAAAAAAAAAGTTACATTTAAACCTGCTGAACATCATTTTCTGCTCGTCAACAATGCTCTCTTTGCTCTGTAAATCTGACTGTTTCTAATATGAACTGAAGCAGAAACACTTTTATCATTTTAACATGTTTTGTCTTTATCTTACTTTGAGCTTCTGAGCTGCTGTCTGTCAGCCTCTGAGCCAGATCAGTCCTCTCCATCTCCTTTAAGACCTCCACGATCTTCTCCACTGACTGTTGGCCAAAAGTCCTCACCATCAAAAACACCTCATCCTGCACGTCCTGCACATCCTGCAGGTCTGACATCTCAGGCGGACTCATGGGGATCATTGAGCCACGTTTTCTTCTCAGGATCTCGATGAAGTCTCTGAGCTCGCTGCCTCTCAGATCAGCCAGTGTCTCCAAAAGCAGCTCAATAAGAGACTCCATCGTTTCCACCTGGTAAAAACAGAGGTCACATGACAGCGATGCACCATTCAAATGTCTGCTTGATTTTTAATCAACAGAAACATTTTAGTGTGCTAAAAATAAATTCATGTTTGAATCCAATTCTTTCTAAACAGCTGAAAAGATGACCTTTGACCTTCAGACATAAAGCTGCGTCTTTTTAAGGTCATGACCGGTCGACCAGATGTAGAGCAGAAAATAACCTCCATGAACATCTGGTGCTCGGTGGGTACCTGCTTGGATTGGTTTTTTATTTCTTGGCTCATTTTTTCCTCTTTTTGAAGGATTTAATTTTCATGAACAGGTTTGTGACTCTGTTTTACTGCCTGACTGTAACTCTGTCAAAGACTGAGCTACAAAAACTGCAGTGAGTCTCCTGATTTTACAAACAGAGGGG